GAAAGGATCAGTCCCCTGAGGAAGAGGACACAAAGCAAATCAGAGCCATTCTACAGCTCAGAGAAATTCTTACCCTTTTCTACACACCGTGGGGAATATCACCATACTTCTCCTAGTGACAGAGCAGGGCTGTGTACCTGCTCTCTGCTCTCACTGCAATATCAGACTGACACCTAAACTGAAGTTATTTACCTGGCTGTATTCTTTCCCAAGCCACATTCCAATCCTAAGGAACAATGACTTCATACTTTAGATGTGAAATGGTGTCTGCCTTTTTAATTGGGCAAGGACTAAGCTTTTTTCAATGACCATCAGCTTTTCATTTCTTTTGCAGATATGATGAAAGATCAGCCAGCAGCAGTACAGCAGATTTCCAGGTGGATAACCACCTGCATTATTTAATACAGCTACGGAGTCTGGTGGCACCTTAAAGATTAATAGATTTATTTGGGCATAGGCTTTTGTAGGTAAAAACTTCACTTCTTCAGTTGTTTTTGTAGATACAGACTAAGATGGCTACTCCCTGATACTTTACAGCTTACTGAGTAGCTCAGGCCACACCTTGCAAACTCTGGAGGCTCATTCAACAAGGGTTCAAGTGACTTCAGTGGCATTTCTTAGTGGCATTTCAAGTTTAGATATTTGCAAGGTTGCTACATGGTCCTACATACATGCTTACTAAGCATTATGCTAAAACAGCAGCTTCCAGGTCAGATGAAAACTTTGGGAGGACAGTTCTGCAGATGCTATTTAGGTAGACTCTGAGCCCAACTCCTACAAGTATTATTTGCTAGTCATCTGAAAGAAATACATGTCTGCAGCCAGTGGTGAGCTGGAGACGGTTCATACCAGTTCACACGAACCGGTTGTTAAATTTTGAAGCAGGTTTAGAACCAGCTGTTAACCCGCTTCCCTGCGAGGGGGGCGCTGCAGCTTTGATGGGCTCCGGCTGGGATGTGATGTAATTCCTCCTCTGGGGGTGCTGTGTTGCGGGATCCATGTGGGCCACCGGCTGGCCCTGGGCATGGGCGCTGTTGCTCCCCCAATCCCTGGCCCTGGGGCTCCCACTGCTGCCTGGTGGGTCCCTGCCTACTCTGCTCTGAGACTCTCCAGCCTGCTCCACACCCCCTGCCCTGCCTGCAGCCAGCCCCGCACCCCCTGCCCGTCTACAGCCAGCCTTATGTCCACTGGTGCCCTGCAGTTCCCAGGGCAGTAACCCTGCACACCTGCTTAATGAGGGGGGCAGGGAGTAGCTGGGAGCTACACATGTGCACACTTTTGGGTGACTAGACAGCAAGTGTGAAAAATCAGGACAGGGATGGGGTGGGGGTAATAGGAGCCTATATAAGAAAAAGGCCCAAAAAATCAGGACATCTGGTCACCCTAGCACACCCCCAGGAAGTGGCGGGGACCCACACGTGTGAAATGGAGCTCATTTCTAGTTCAGGCCCCTCTTAAAAAAAGAAACTTTAGCTAGGGTTAACATATGTCCGGAAAAATACAGATGTGTCAGGCTTTTTGGTTCTTAAATCACCGTCGGGCAGGAATTTTTAAATTTTAAACATATAGATGTATGGTAACCCTCTTGGTATAAAAAAAATACATACTGTGGTACATCCCTTAAATCAGAACTTTTTATAGGGAACCAGTTGTTAAGATTTTGGCAGCTCATCACTGTCTACAGCCACTCAAACAAAAAATGGTTACCTGCCTGTACTGCAGCTGTTCTTCTAGATGTGGATGCAGATGTATAGACCAGGACCCAACTTTGTCCCCTCTGCATTGGGGTCTCTATTCTTCACATTTGGTGCAAAGGAAATTAAGGGATTTGAGGCTGCACTACCCTTATATAGCCATGGAGCGGAGGAGAGGGGGGAAGGCCAGAGGGCACAAGTGCCACCTCTACAGGTACTGCTATGTAAAGTTATCTGGCTTTGTTGAGCTAGGTGTGCACACACATCTCAGTGGAATACCTCTCTGCACCCACATCACATACTGAAGAACAATTACAGTACAGGTAATCGTTTTACAGTATACAAGGTCCACTACTACATGGCCTTCAGGCCTTACTGAGAAGATCTCAGTATTTTCCTTGTCCTACAAAGAAACCTGTCCCCGTATGCCAATTTGCTACTTGCACTTTGCTGACACATTTCCAAATCCAGGCAGTGTGCTTTGGCTTCCCTCCCATTCCTTGTTTTCTCTCCCGTTTGATGGTAATTCTGATGGCCAGTCTACAACGTAGATGACTTGCTGATATCTCAGAGAGGTGGGTTAACAGCTGTACACTGACTAGATCTTTCAGCTGCTCCAGTCCCCCTATTTCATAAGTTTTCAGAGGAATGCCTCAGTTCCCTCTCAGGATGTGGCTCACCTCTAGGCATTTTATCAGGCATTGGTTGTAGTCTAGTTGCCCAAGGAAAGATTTCACAATTTGCATTTCTTCTGGGACCTCCTTAAGTATTTGCTTTCCAGAAACTCCTATTATATAAAATAACAGTAGCTGAATGTGGAAACTGGTCCACGATGGGGATGCACCTCTACTCTACATATTTTCCTCATTTGTAAATAGAATTTCCGAAATGGGAAACGAGATTACCTGCTATATCACAGAGAGCTCAGATGGGCCCCATTCAATTCAAGGCAACTGGCTGTCCTAAGAAGCTCATCAGAACTACTTCCTATAATTCCAAGCAGTTAAGGTGGTGGGTCTCTCTTCTTAAGATTCCCTCTAAATTTGGTTACCATTCACATGAAAAGCAATAATAGGACCTTTGTGGCACACTGGCACTTCCAGTATGTTCAGTTTACTTCATGTTTTAAGTTTCCCTCTAATTTGTGGAGATGTGTTTTACTTCTGGCTCCTTCCCAGTTGTAATGGATCACAGCATACCAGGTGCCCACTGGAGAGAAAAGTAGTTTACCTACCCATAACTTTTCCTTCTGTGAAATGGCCACCTGATGCTCTATGAGACCACCACTCAGGGCATCACCTAATTTGCATTAAATTCCAGTTGAAGGAGAAATCTCTCATTCCTTCCTGCAGAGATAGACGGAAAAAAATCTTGGGATTCCCTCATATTATGATCCTGTTTTGCTGTAAGTCTTCATTTCCATTTGTATAATAAATGGTTAAGTAGATTATCCTGCTTAGAGACAGCCAGTTTTTCATAGTGTTTAACAATTAGATGTTATAGTTTGTCTTCTCAATTTGAGCAGTTGGCTGGGGAATTAGAGTGGTAATCAGTTCTCTAGACAGCTCTACCTGCTAGCAATACATTGTGAAACTAGAGAGGATTTAAAAACAAATAAAACAAAAAACACACCACACACCCCTCTATGCTTAGATGAGAGGAAGGAATAACCCTTGTAAGGGGTCACAGAGCACCAGGTGCCCACAAGGAAGAAGGAAAAAAGTTATGAGTAGATAAATACATTTTACCTTTATTGGACATAATGCTGACCAATAATATACGTTTGCACCATTGGTCAGAGGATGTCAAATATTCCCTCCACAGCCTCCTCAGAATGAGGGATTCCTCTGGACCTGAGCCACCTGTGGACATTTCCATCATTACACTGGGCACCAGCACCTAAAGTAGGCCCCCACTGTTTGGGCTAAGAAAAGCGGAAGGAATACAATTTTTTGCAGTGATGATTTATGACAAGTCCCATTCCTGAAGCGAGCACACCACCCTTTAAAACACTGGCATCCATAGTTACTGGAGGGATTCCTGCTTTGGGATGCTTAGAACTACACACCATGGCACCTGCTTCTGTTCCTGGGTGTAAGAGGGAGGCTGTCCCTTTAAAGTCAGGACATCCTTCTCGCCATAGCCTAGAGACTTGTTTCTTGGAAAGCTACTAGCCTGTGTTAAGGAACCATTCTTACCTCCATACAGGGTATTTCCAAAGTGAGCAAGATGGGTATTAAGTTTGCTGGTGGGATAGGATTGGTGGTTAAGTTATTACAAGGAGATACGTGAATGTGCAATATGGAGCAGGGGTACGATTTGTTTTCGTATTTTCAGTTTCTCACTGCCCTTTGTTTGCTCTCTTCTGAAAGACAGATTTAGTGACTAATCTGAAAGGAACATGAGCATGAAATCTAGTTAGTTTAGTGAGTTAAACACAGTTTTAGATCCTACACTTGGCCCTAAGCCTCCCTGCCAATGTCTGGTTTTATAATTCAAAATGTTCTCTCTCTGCTTGCAGCATGAAAGACACACACAGGTAATGGGAAATGAGTAATTAGACACAAAGTACTTTAAAATGTCCAAAGTAAACCAACAGAAGAATTTTTCTCTAATCTAAAATTAACTGAAAGATGTTATTTGTAGCAATAGCAGTTAAAGAATTCTCAGAAGTCCAATTTTAAGTTGACAGTGTTAATGTTAATATTAATATTAACTCCTTTATACCATATGTTTAAATGTATGTCTGATAAGGAGGGAGTTCATCCATGAATGAGCAAATTCTGAACAGATTTTTACCATCCTTGACTTGCCTGACAAACAGGAGATCTAGGGAAGATCAAAGTAAGCAGCAATAGATAGGATTAAAGATTGACGTTTTCTACCTTTTCAGATTCACTATTTAATCCTTGTACTGCTCAGTATTTGTTTGGGGGCAAGAAAACAGTAGTGTTCAGCCCCAGCTCTGTGATGGAAAGCGTTCAAAAGGGTGGCGTACAGATGGTTGGCAAGTTAAAGTGAGAACTTTTAAAGCAAACTAAGACTGCACAAAAGGTAAATCAGTCTGATTAGCATGACTTGTTTGCCTTTTATGGCAAATTGAAAGACGACAGTCATCTACCACTAAGGCAACTTGTGGGGGGAAACTAGGGAACCCAGACAAATTTCAAAATCAAGGAGATTTTCATAGCCAAATCACAGCTCTGCAGTGATCATGCCATCTTATCTCTTACTTAATTTACTGTCTAAATTAGACTTCACCTCTGTTATTACTTATGAAAATTGTATTATAAAAATATTCTTTACCCAACAGTGTTGTACTATCCACTTGATCAGCATCTAGAAAGAGAGAACAATTCAACTGTGAACAACTAGTCTGGATATTCTTTGCTTTATATAGTAAACTAAAGCAACAAAAAAAAACCTAATAGCTTTTGAATAAAATTCTGACACTCCACACCAAATAGTTGCTGGAAGGATATCTTTGTATCTTTTATATAATGCATGCTGCCCACTAAGAGTTAAGCCGTTTTATTTTAGAAATAAAGCATGCTTAATGCAAGTACCTTACAAACACTATCATTACACAATATCCAACATTGGCTTGGCTTTTAAAGGCAGACAGGAAACTGCTCTAGTATTATACTTAGGCAGAGTTCTATAAAGTGAGGGAGCACAGTAATCAAGAGAACTATCGAACGACAGAATCTGAATACACTGAATTTTCAAACAGATTATCAGAGGACATAACATTTAAAGTAGTCTCAAAATGCTAATACCAATGAGAGAATTTCATCAGTTTGTAACACAATTTTGGCACTGGCACAGCTTGTTCAAAATATATTTGTAATGCAACCTCAGTCGTGATCCATCTGCAACAGACCTACCCCATAATTTTGAAAAGCTAGCACATGATCCTGTTCTCTTTCAATCTTGATAAAGAAATAGATGACTAAAGAAAGTTTAGTGACAATTAACTATTGATAATTTGTGAGAAAAAACAAAACAAAAAATGAGGTGGACTCACACTCAAAACCCTGGAGACAGGCTATCACACAAAATAAGTGATGTCAGTTTCTCACTGCTACTTGTATAATCTGAAAAGCTGCTTTCCAGATCTGTAACCAATTTAGTTTTGGTTCCTTCTTAACTTTTTATTAAAATCAAAATGAAGACCCGTTAGCCCCATAAACACGCTCAAACTAAAGCCTGAATACTGAAAGACACATATGCATGTGAGAAGTCCCACTGAATTTAACAAGATTACTTGTGTGTGTTTTTGCGAGGTTGTAGTCTAACCTTGCAGTCATTGCCAGTAATGGTTTGATGTGGACACAGCAGCAAAATGAGGAATTAAGTGGCAGAATGCAACTTTTATTAAACTTTAACACAGGGGAGGGGCACTACCTGCCCATCACCCATGCTCTCCTACACCAGACATTTAATTGGTTCCAGTAGGGGGATTACAGGGCTCCTTACCATATAATCCATAATTGGTGCCAGAGTTACAGGATTCCTTACCATACAACCTGTAACATGGGGCTGGCTCTCCTCAGCCTACCCCCCAGGACTCAGCTCTCTCTTGAGTTCTAGCACCCCATAAGGGGGACAGACATGCAGCAGGGTGGGGTCCTCAGCCCACAAGGTCTGACCTCGACCCACAAAATCTGAACCTAGCGTGAGCCCAAGGCCCATAACCAAAATCCAGTCTTTTACCTCTGGGAACCATTCATTTTATTCTCTTAACCACACTGGAAAACAGACGCAAGTTGTGACAATAAACAACTCCACCCCAGTATCTTAGTTAGATATTAAGCACATTCCTACTCAACCCTCTGTGGCTTGAAGGTGCCATGAAGGTGGCAAAATACTCCGTGGTCCTCTGCCAATTGGCCCATGGGAAAAAAAGTTCCTTCCTGACCTCTTAAACTGGCGATTGGCTAGACCCACAGTATCTGTCAGGCAGCGTTCTCATTCCTGTTTGGGTGAGTAGTGTTGCCTGCTGGAATGGAGCTGGGGAATGGTGGCCAATCAGCACCTTTCTCCCCCAGCTGGCCAGTGGGTTCCAGAGACTCCCAGGGGGAACAGCTTCCTATTGTTCCTTGGTGAGTGTCTTCCTCCCTTGCAACTGGGACTGTCCTCCTTTCACCACTACCCCCATCAAGTTCCCCCACCCACTGATGTTAGTGCATGGCATTTTTCCTTTTAATTCAGATTTTAATCAGCATGTTACACTGGCTGTCATCAGATCAATGGTTGGTTTGCATCTGACTGACTAGGCATCAGTTACTGTTCAGACCTTAGAAAAAATTGTGTATAGCACTAGACATACTTCTACTGGTTAAAGGACAGACTCAGGTCCACAGCCAGTATCTGCAAAGATCTGTTTTTCAGTACATATCCCAGTAGTAAGTAATCAAACACATCCAGTCTTTTCTTAAATGTCCTACATACCCAACCTACTGAAGACCTAGAGGTTTCAACAGCATTCTTGGAGAAATCCACTCCTCACCAAATCTCTGTTCTGGAATCTGGCTAAGACTGTATGTTTAGAAATCATTACCCCAATAAGGCATCTGCCTGCACTTCAAATTTTTTTTAAACTTACTGTTTTATAATCAGGTTGACAGAGTTCTAGTCACAACAGTTTAGCAGACACAACTGAGAACAGCTGTGAAATAATCATCATCTGTTACCCAAAGTTAGTTTCCCCTTGTTGATATTTCTCCGAAGTGTCCTGATGAAGGCCACAGCAGAATAAACTTCATCTATGCAGTAACACTTGCTGGAAAGGCACTTCCAAAATATGGGTAATCTTTTTTCTCTCTTAGTCTCCCTTTTTTACTTTTGTATTTTAAAAAAATGACTTATTACTTCGATAAGTTTTCAATAAGATACAGACTTCACAGACTCAGATGTAAAGATTAATTAATATAATTCATCTCTGTGCCAATACTGGACCGTTACCTACAGGACATTTTTTAGTTTTGCCCTAGTCTAGTTTTAAATGTCCCATGCAATAAGGCTTCACTGCTACCCTTGGAAGATTATTCCGCAGCTTATTCAGTAGGTCAGTTTTTTCCTGATGCTCAGTTAAATTGTTCTCACACAGTTGTCCTCCCCTCCACCCACATACACACTTAACTTACACAGGATATGACTATTACCCTATACAAATCTTGTATATCTTTTATGTGTACACCAAACACTTGTAATTTCATGTTCCAACTTCATGCTTAGCCAAGCTATACATATTTGACTGTTAGCTTTCCTCAAGTCAAGCCATACAGCCTTTTAAGCATTTTTGCTGTCTTCTCTGAACTCTCATAATGCCTACAACCAAATATTTTATCTGGGGCACTGCACTTAATGAAAGTGAAGTTTGAGAATACATATAAATAACTTAAAGGAATAAATCCTTACAAGAACACTATAGCTGGCAAATACACTAAGCACACAGGAAATTCAGAGCAAAGGGTAAATTTACAAGAAATCCAAACATTTGAAACCCCAAAAATTCAGTTACAATTTTATTATATTCTCCTACTCTGCATGTCAATCAGAAGCAGAGATTTTCATGCATGCACTCGTAACTACCCATTGGATTAACATCTCAAATCAAGTGCCACTTGCACAAAGAATATACTAAAAATGGAATTCAGTTGCACACAGAAGTTCATTATAAAATAACAAAACAAAAATACCTGGACTCCTCTGCTTGCAGATTTGAGCAGTTAGATCTTGGACATACTCCGGGAAATATTCAAAGCAATCACCATAGGATACTACTTTTATTCCATGCAGAAGCATATCTGCCTGGAGTTTAAAAAACTGGTCTTCATTTTCTTTAAGCACCAACATATAATGTTCTAAATCTACTTTATTCTTTACAGTATACAGAAAGAGAGCCTGGAATATTTGATCACGCAGAGTCTCTCCACAGCCCACAAACAAGAAGGATTTGGTCAGATACAAATTCTGTAGAACCTCCTGTTAAGAATATTAAAATAACAAAAGAAAAATTTTATCTATATGCCCAAAGACACATGGGTCAAAGTAAAAACATTTTTTAAAGTTTCACACACATAAAAGAAGAAATGGAACACTCAGTTTGGCAAAACACAGTATGTTCTTTAATTAAAGTCACACATACCATTACTTCAGGGTCTTGAGTAACATCTTTATATCCTGAAGGATCCAACACCATTCCACAGGGATCTGTATACAAGCCATGAATATGAAGAACTCCATACTTGATATGACCTCTTGCCCACTGAAGAACCTAAAGCAAATCATGCATGTAATATTTACTTTGGATTATATTATACTACTGAAAAAGGGGAAACTATATTCTTGAACAAGTGCCCACACATGTAAAGCACAGTTGATTATTTTTGCCCTTTGTGTACTAAGGTCACAGTATCAGCTATCACTTGCATAAGTTACAGAAAAACCAGTTAAAACTACTAAAATTTTGAAACAGAAGTGCTAAACTGTAGACTGTAAAATGTTCAGAATACAATATAAACAATAACCTTTTAAAGGCTTTTTGCTCTTTTGACCAAAAGAAACTTATTTTAAATCGACAAAGAGCGTTCTAGCTTTTTACAAAAACATAAGACACCACGAGTAAAGCAGCTAGAAAAATCTTAACACCCGTCAGACATCTTTGAGTCTTCCTTTCCAGTGTCTGAGTGATGAGCTAATCACTTCACTAGATTAAGTTACATTTGTGATTGTTACAATTACTTCATCCACATGAACTGTTTCTGTAAATAAGAAATCTACCATTGGTATTTTCTGGCAAATTGTATCACATTATTCAAAACGGACAATGAAAACTGTCTGTCCATGTCTATTATTTTACTTCACTGAAAAGCTTTACAGAAAACAAAAAGTAGTAAAGATTTTCAATAACTAGTGAAAAAACCTGCAAAAAGTACAAGACAAGACAACTCCTTTCCCCTATAAGAAGTCCTGACATTTCATTGCCTTATCATACCTTATCCTTATCTTTCAGGTCTAAAGACTCCATGGGTTTACCCTGTTGCTGACCAAAAATTTCAAGTAAATTGTCATAGTTTGTTGTAAGGACCATAGTGCCTCTCTCCATTAGCCTGAGGATTGACTGTAGAACAACAGGATTCTGAATGTGTTGTTCCAAGTTATCAAACACCTCCATTAAGCAATCCTGGAAAAAGTTGGGCTTGGTATCACCTGTGCGCTGAAGGGGAAGAAAAAAAAAGTGTATAGTTAAAGATAAGCACTGTAACTGCCTTCAGCAGGACAGCAATGGTCCTTAACCATTTGTCCCAATACTTTTTTTTAAAAGGAATTTACTAAAATCATGATATTTAGACAGCTCCTATAGTATATAAAATGTTAGGGTTTGAAATGTCAGAGATAATCAGGGATGGCTTGAAGCCATGTATTATTTATATAGCTCATATAGTAAAGTCATCCACTTTTCTAAAGCTTTGACAGGAATCAACTTGTGCAATATATAGGCCGGGGGGAGGGGGGGGGGTCTCTTCTGTAGTTTGCCACAGTTAAACCTTCCTCTGTCACTTCCAAACTAAAATATTAAAATGTGCTCCACTCATCTTTTAGCTAATGCCCAAACTCCATGACAGGGTAGACCAGAGGGAATTCACAACACACCAGAGTTCCATAGACTGCATTGGCTTCCTGATCACTTCCAAGTGCAATTCAATGTGCTGATGTTCATGTTTAGAAGCTGTATACATTAGGGTCCTAGCTTCATGGGAAATCACAAGTGCGGTCATTACCTTTGAGGTCAAAAGTTACCATTCCCTAGATTTAAAGTCTTGGGTGCTTGCGGAGAGTCCTTGTCTCAGGAAATCACTTTTGCTCAACCAAGCCAGAGATTCTTAATCTTCAGGATGAGCTGCAAAGCCCGTCTGTATATGCAGGGTTTTCCCTGAGGGGATTGGAGTATTTTGCTCTCTCTCTCAATGCATCTACTGGAATCATTTCTGCTGGAAGACTTCAGGCTGTTTTTAATGGATTTCCTGAAGAAAACTTCTGTCTCAAAATCAGTGGCATAGATGCACATTGGACATGCGTAGACTTTCCTTATTTGAAATAAATGGAGCTGGGACAACTTAAGGCTATCAATAGTGTCAAGGTCTGTCAACATTTCTGTGCAATCTCTGGTTTCAATCAGCAAAGCTATAAATTCCTGTTTGAGTTCAGAACAACACTGACAGACTGACTTCTCATAACACAAGCAAGCGTCTAGAATAATCACAACTAGAATAATCTGTTTCCAGAGTTTTCAGTGATGTTTGAAATAAAACATTCAAATTAATTCAAGCAAAATTGTATACGTGTGTATACACACACACATACACACACAGAGCAGTAAAACTCCTACACGCCCCTATTAGAAAGGCCCAATTGTGCTAAGTACTGTAAAGTAAAACAGACTTTCTTCCCCCAAAGGGCTCAAAACCTAGGAATACTACTATTATAATAATGTCTTTAAATAATAAGTACTATATACATACTCACTGGGGACATCTTTCTTATGAGATCATGTGCAACTACAAGCAAGTCTCTGTCTTTGATCACTTTTTTGCGGAATTCAGCAACGTCTCCTGGATGAAGCACCTCCAGTTGTTCAGCTGCTTCAATGACAGCTTCAATACAGCTCCTCCATGAGCACAGTGCTGGTATTTCTGGTGCTACAGCAGCACTCACTCCGGTTCCAATTACCAAAAGAAGGTCCCAAGGCTGCTTCCTTATTAGACTTCTTAAAATCTTCCTAAAATAAAAAACAGAAGATCTACATTTTCTACACACTGTATGTTATCTTGTCAAAGTTTCGTAAGATTTTGATAGAAGAGCAATTTAGTGTGTCCATGTGAACTGTTAGTGCTTGTAAAAAGTGCCAGATTGAAAGCACTGGAGTAGAAATGCTCTTTCTCAACAGATCAGCTTTCTCAAAGTGAGAGATCAATGTACCTCAACCCTAACCAAGAGAAACCACCTCTAGGATGAGAGAATGGGTATGAGACCTCCTACTACTCTATCTTTGGCCTGTATGCTGTGACTGCAACTAATATGACAATTATTGCAAACTGGGCTGATGGGATTTGTGATCAAGAATTGTACTCAAACCAAATTAATTTCACATAGTTTACTTTTACTTAACAGCCATAAAATAGCAATAGCTTTCACTCGCTGGATTTAAACTGGCAATCTATCGCCAATTTTCAATCCTTTGGGCCACCAGTCATCCTTTCAGCAGTTCTTTTAAGCGAGCTGTACTTCATAGTACCATTGAAAGATCTACTCAGTATAGAGACAAAGTTGAAATATTTTAAAAAGACAAAGGAATAAGGTTCTAGTTCATCTGCATGTTAATCAAATGCTGCAGCAGACAGTAAATTTATGTACAGTTGTGGTGTGAAAGATAGTCACATATATGCTCCTCTTCCCCTAAAGAACTCCCTCAGCTGTTTTCTGTTTATGATCATTAATTATCTCCTCTAGGCCTATGTTAAGCCTGAAGATTTCTAAACACAAGTTCACCCAAAAATGTTGCCTGCATGAGCTGGCTCTAGGTATTAGCTATACAACAGCAAGTACAAGGAATTCTCAGGCAAGTCTCATGGGAAGGTTTTCTGCAAAACTAAAAGTAAAAATTGGTCTTTGTAAAGAAACATCTCCATTAGTCCAAAGTCATCCTTGAATGCAGAAAGCTTGGTAAAATGGATAGAATTACTGAGGGACGGAAACCTCATTTTCAATTATATCATGCAATTAAAGAAAGAAATTCAGGAAAGAAGAATTTTTTTTCATTTATTTTTGAAGTTTTGTAGCTTCTCATTAATCTTGGCTTCAGCAGGCAATCTTGAAAACCCTTTTTTTCTGCTAAAACTGTGCATAGTTATAAAATATAAAGTTACCACAGGCATAATCTACAAAGCTCTGGTTATTTACATCATATGCACATTACAAATTTGAGAAAAAAATTGGTATGATTATCTGATAGAGATGTGGAATATATTTCAATAACGTGGAAGAACTCAAACAATTTGACAAATATTCAACATTAAATTTGGTCTACAATATTTAACTCTTAAAACATCCCTTATATCAGGGGTCGGCAACGTTACGCGGCTCGCCAAGGTAAGC